CGTCGAGCTTGGATCTCTCGTCTTTAGGAATATGAACAAAAGCTCTACAACCAAAAACTTTCAAATGATTGTAGGAAACGTCTCTTCCCGACTAGAACTTGTTCAGGGCATCAACATTCAAAGGTGCTGAAGGAGAAAGGTTGATTACATCAACCGCAGTCATCAGGGCTTCACCCCAAAAACTTTTGGCCAACTTGGCATGAGATAACATTGTTCCTATTCTTTCAACAATTGTTCTGTTCATTCTCTCAGCTATGCCATTATGCTGAGGAGTCTTCGGAACAAATCGTTCATGCCTAATTCCATTACTTCTACAATAGTTTCTAAACGCCCCCATATATTCTCCTCCGTAATCGGTGAGAATACATTTCAAGCTTCTATCAGTCTCTTGTTCAACGCTAGCATGAAATTGCTTGAAAACTTCATATACTTGATCTTTTGTTCTAAGTGCGTAAGCCCATACATTTTTGAAATGATCGTCAATGAAGGTGACAAAATATTTTGCACCACCAAGAGTACTAGTGGTCATAGAACCACAAACATTAGAGTACACAACATCCAATACATTGGGTTTTCTTTGTGCATGACCATGTTGAAACGAAGCTCTATGCTTCTTTCCAGCCAAGCAGTGCGTGCATGATTTTAGAGGCATGCCTTTGTTCATCCCAGTCAGTGCCTTTATTTTGGCTAGAATTTGCAGCCCTTTCTCGCTCAGGTGACCGAGCCGTTTATGTCATAACTCAATCGAGTATTCTGCGAGAGCATTTACGTACCCATTACTGACTTTTGCATATGTCATGTATAGGGTGTTCTCCTTCTTCCCTCGTACTAGGACAAGAGGGTTCTTGCTGAGTTTCCATTTCCCTTCAACAAAGACATTGGTGTATCCTTCATCGTCAAGTAATCCAATGGAGATTAGATTGAGATGCATATCTGGAACATGTCTCACATCCTTGAGGACCAAGTGACAACTTGTGTTGGTTTCAAAGGAAATATCTCCTCTTCCCACGATCTTGGACAATTTTTCATTTCTCATCCTCATATTACCAAAATCTTCATTGGTGTAAGATGTAAAGAAGTCCTTCCGTGAGGTAACATGAAATGATGCACCAGAATCCACCATCCAGCATGTATCTTGAGAGGAAAAATTAGCGAAGCCATCACCACATAGAATAATTACTTCATTTCCACCAGAGGTAGTTGCGGTCGTGTGCCTGGCATCACTCTTTTCGTTACCTCTATCTTGCTCTCGTTTCAACAACCTGCACTCTCTCTTCATTTGGCCTATCCAGCCATAATGGTAACATTCTAGGTCATTTCTTGTCTTGGACCTTCCTCTCTAGCCATCTCTTGACCTGCCCTTTGACTTGTCTCGCCTGTGGAATTTTCTATTGTTAGTTCTTCCACGATACTCTGAGATGAGGGCTTTTGACTCGGCCACTACACCTTGTTCTTTCCTCTTTGCTTCTTCATTGAACATGCTATCTTTAACTATGTCCAATGTAAGAACACCTTGAAGAGCTGAATTGCTTAAGGATACTACTAGTGTATCCCAGCTATCAGGCAAAAAGCTGAGTAACACTAGTGCCTGTAACTCATCATCAAGCATCATCTTCATATTCGTAAACAGGTTGATCAAACCTTGGAAGTCACTGAGATGCTCGGTAACACTTTGACCATCTCTGTACTTAAGGTTTACCAACCACCGGATAACTGATGCTTTATTTTAAGCGGTCTTCTACTTGTACATGGACGACAATTTTGTCCATAATTTGTATGCATCCGTCTCTTGTGCCACATGGTGGAACACACTTTGATCCACCCATTATCGGATTTGTCTGACGGCTTTTCTATTCATAATGCTCCATGCATCGTCTGACTTCCCTGCTGGTTTTTGTCCCAGCAATTGAAAGGGCTCATACAAATCCTTGCAGTAAAGGATGTCCTCCATTCTTGGCTTCCAAATGGAGTAATTGGATGCAGTCAATTTTAACATTGTTGCTGATGATGATGACGATGACTCCTCCATCTTAAATTACACAAGAATATAATTTTTGAGCCGAAACTCTGATACCACTTGCTGGGAAAAATGGCGAAAAATCAAAGGGCCAATAAATAAATATGGCACTCCTAGGATCTGACTTCTCCCAGCCTTGTGTAAATAAAATGGGCAAAATTAACACTCTATCTTCCACTAAGAAAAATAATGGGAATACAATAATAATCACACCAAACACCGGTGGCTAAACTCTCTCTTGGTTTTTCTCTCAAGAGGATTTTCTCTCTCACACAAGAGACTTTCTTATCTCTCAAAACTGTCTAAGTTTTGGTTTTCTAAGGGATGCATTGAACTGAAAGAAGGCAACTGCTTTTATAGCCAACATTCCTAACTAATTGGTGGCCATACATGAGGGAGAGTTTTCTCATTTTCTCTTCCATTCGTTTTCTTCAAATTTTCATGTCCTTTCCTTCATTTTATTTTAATATTTATTTTCCTTCTTTTTCTCTCCTCCACTAACGAGGGAAACCCATCAAGATGCATATAAATACAAGTGCCCCTGCTCAACCGATCAAGCCAACCCACACAAAAGAATTCACCCCATCTAGAATAAGTGTATGAAGGGATCGGATTGAGGAGATATACTCTTGTATATTCTTGATGTGTGTTCTATCATGTGCAGTCACTAATATAGTTTACAAATAGAGCTCGTAGAACAATATCTGAAGGCGCTAATTGAAATAATACAGTGAGAGATATGGTGGGTTCATAGCAGATAAAGACTGGTTTTTTATTGTAAGAATAGATAATGCAACTGCTGTATTCTTCTTCTTTTTGTTCATTTTTCCCGTCTCAAATATAGATATTTGTAGGTAAATTTCTCTCAGTAGCAATTGTAGGTTCTCGGACAGATGAAGACGAAAAGGCTGAACGATGCATATATCACTGAGTTTTAAGCTTTCATTACTTGTTCTAGCTGAGTAAATCTCTGCTAAATCAAAAGAGATCTACCATTTGTTGCACAGGAGGTTTTGAGTCCTCTTGATCAAGCAGAAGAGGCGCACATGTCCACGGGAGTTGGCCACACTTCACGAAGATGTAGAATGAGTTCTGACGTAGGTGAATTCATTGAATATCATCAGTTGATGAGCTACTGTTCAACAACAGTTCTCTGTCTCATCATCTCAGGTTTCTACTTGCCTGTTTTCTTTTCTTCACTACTTTCAAGCTGTCCGGTTTTAAGTTCTCTACTCGAGCAAATCCTCCGATATCTTGGCCTACTCGTAAGTTTGGTTGTAGTTCTCATCAACTATGTTGTGTTGAATTCTTCCTAGCTAGTGCCAAATCATGACAAACGTCAAATCTTGTTCGTACCAAAGAATCCAATCCCCTCCCCCCACTACAAGAAAAGGATAAGTGAAGATCAATATTTGGTTTAGTAAAAATTCGGATGTTCCTCCTTTATTTTAGAAACTTTTATTTTTATATATTGGCGGGTTATTTAGAAATTTTTAATATTTACCCCTTTCAAGCTACTCTTAAAGATTTTGTCACTCATTTCCATATTCTTCTCAATTCATTTATTCTGTGTTTGTGTAACTAATAAGTTTGAGACTTATTAAAACCTAAATTTCTTAGCTTATCATGCCGCCATCATTTCAATGTGATACCAAAATATTATTATAACTTTCCTCATGATTTATATATATATATATATATATATGTGTGTGTGTGTGTGTTCGCGTCTTTGTCTATCTATAGATAGAGTTTTCATTAACGAATGCTTTAAAAGAAGATTCACTATTATATCCAATATAAGGGCCCAAATTATAAAAATACCATATGTGAAATGGACTTTAGAAACACACCCAAAGTTCATTTACAACATAACAAAGAGGCTTTCAACTTCTTATAAATTACAAAACTGCCATCAATTTCTTAAAACAAGTCCAACCCCAAAAACTCATAAAAAAACCCAAAACACTCAATAGGGCATCAAAGTAATTTAATAATCAAAATTAAATTAAATAGAGTCAGCTTTTTTTTTTTTTTTGGGTTTTTTGTTTTTGTTTTTTTTGTTTATAGAAATTAAATGGTGTAGAGTTTATTATTATTTTTTTTTGTACTAAGAATTGGTATATGACTAAATATCCCTGCTTGTAAATAGGGTTGTGAAATCATATATAGCTTTGATTCTGTGTATCATCTTTTCCTCATTAATTGCTTGCGTGCCATCGATTGGGCATGAGATTGCAGCTGAATACGTGAATAATCTCGGGACGATGATAGATGCAGGTTTCCATTGACAGATGCTTTAAATAGGACTGAACTTGAGCAGATGCAGGTTTCAAAGTTGCGTATGAAGCTTGTACCCAAGTGGCTAGATCCTTGGCTGAAGCATATGACTTTTACATACCAGGCAAATATGGACCCCAAGAAAACACCAGTTAAGGATCATTTTATAGGAATATGAAGCACTAATTTCTCCCCTCTTCCTCCTGTCGTCTTCTAGTTTTCTAGATTCTTTTTTTCTTCATTAAACCAATTGTCAAACTGTTATTTGATTGTTAACATTTTTCAGCGACCATACAGTGGTTTGGTGTTATTTTTCGAAATAATCACGTCACGAGAAACAACAATGAGTATTTGAAGCTGATATGTAATGTGCATACTTGTCAAAACTAGATTAATTTGGAAGAACATTGATACACACTGGGCAACAAGTAACTTGATCAAATAGCAGATACTATGTAGCTTCTGTAGTTTACACCTGAAGTCCACATGGTTGAAGGTGTTTATTCATATCACTTTATAAACCATACTGCTCAAGGAATCCACAAGAAGAACCATGTGAAAAACTGAAAGCGATATCAAAACTAAAAGAATGTACGTCGCTTAAATCGAAAAAAACAAACAAACAAAGAATTTAGCTTTAGAAGCATTGCAAACTGTTACTGTGTTACAGAGAAGTTTAGTGCTATGATGCAAAAACTTATTGTCCATTCAATAGTCACCAACTGCCATACATGCAAAAACTTCACGAACTCAGGAAATAGATATAGAAACAAACTTCAAACAAAATCCTCTAGACACATAAGAATATGTGACATTTCTAATGGTAGCTGCAGCAGAAATGGCGTGGTACATAATTTATTATGACATAAATGTTCTGCTGCTAGATAGACGTGTTGTCAGATTGCCGATCTGAATAATCGACCATGTCTGGATACATCGTCGTGATTGAGTCTGCGAACACAACATGCTAGATATCTAGCAAAAGAACGTTAGCTGCAAGCGTCACCAGTTGGCATACACATTCACAAGCAGCAACCAGGGCACCTAATCAATCCGTTCTCGTTGCAATCGTGGCACTTCCTCAGTTCCCCTTCATCCTCATCAAACAGCTTTCGGCTTCCATTACAAGTTGGGCACGGTGTAAACCTTGCATCCCCACATCCCTCACAAACAAACCCAGTATCCCTCACTCGAAAGCCTCTCAAAAGCTTTCCCAATTCTCCATCCTCGTTGAGCTGCTTTATTTCCTCTGCTCCTCCCACAGACTTGCCTCTAACAAACACTTGTGGCAGACTCACTGCTTTGCCTCCAAAAGCATTTTGCAATTCCTTCTTGTACTCAGAATCCATTGAAATGTCCCTCTCATCTACTGCCACTCTAAATCCCCTAAATATCATCCTAACCGCGCAACAATCCTCGTAAGTCTTTCGAATTCCTCTCAAACTGGTGAAGTAGACCACAATTTTATCTTCAGTACCCGGAAGATGAAAACAAGCATTTGAAACTGAGGAATACGAAGGGGTACTATAAGTCAATGATCTTGCAACTTTGCCATTGTTGTTGTAGCCCAGTTGTCTAGAAGACAATGCTCTTCTGTAAGTTAAGACCACATTGGGGTCCATCTTCGACAACAAAGACTCCTCCGATAAATGCTTCCACAGAGGCTTCGAAGAAGACGAGGATGAGGATGAGGTAGGCATTGAGTCCTCCGCCTTTATTACTGAAGATCTCACTGATTTGAAAGAATCAAACGGTTTCTTCACAGACCCATCAAAGCTTGAGTACCTGCGAGAACTGGCTTTGTTGGAAAACCCAATTGTGTGGTCAAAAATGGAGGAAATGGGCTGTTCTTCAGAGAAATGAGAATGGAAATCAGAGTCATTGAGGCCATCCATCAGTTCCCAAGTGTTGATGACAGAGTCAGGGGAAGATGAGGAGCGTTTTGGGGGGTAGGATTGATCAGGAGAATCCTGACCGTTCAGATTGAGGGTCTTGGGGGATGTGGGGTCAATGTGGAGGGAGCCATAGGTAGTGGAGGTGAGAGAAACGAGGTGGTGAGTGTCGCCTTTTCTGAGAGGTGGGTGATGAACAAGAGGGGCTGAGATGGAGAGAGCTCTGCGAAATGAGGCTGGTGGTGGTAATGGTGGTGAGGAATTGGAAGAGTTTGAGGCAGATGAAGAGTTTGGGGTTGAAGAAGTAAGAGCAGTGGAAGAGGAGGGTTGTGAAGGTTGTTGTTGTGGGTTTTTGGTGAGAAGGGTGAGAGGTCTTGAAGAAGAGCAGCCCATGAATGAAATCAAAAAAGGATTGAAAATTGTGAAATGAAGTGATTTGGGTTTTGGAATAATGCTCTCTCTCTCTCTCTCTCTCTCTCTCTCTCCACACACAGAAAGAGACTTTTTGGGTTGGCCTGTGTCTTGTTTATTTGGGAGGCTTCTCTGAGGGAATATGATTGCTTCTAGAGAGAGAGAGGAGGATTGTGGAGGTGGGTTTGGAAGCTTTTGGAGGATTGTGTAGATGAAAAGGAAGAGAGAGAGAGAGGAGAGAGAGTGTTGGGTGAGGAAGTGCTTTCAAGAAGGGGGGTTTGGGTGGGAAAGGGGAAGATGAAGAAATGAATGAGACATTGAGGAAAGCTGTAAATGAGCAGAAAACGCGGTTAGGCTTAGGAGTCTCTTTTTGAATAATTATTGATTGATAATTATTTGGTAATTATTCTTTTTAAGGGCAGTCCTAGTTCTACTAAATTTGGAATCGTTTGAGGTGTGTGTTTCACGACATCATTAAATTTGTAGAGTTTCAAGGTTCATTTGGCAGTAAAAATCTCTCTCCTGATTGGATTTTATTTGTCAACCAGTTTCTGCTTTGAAAAGGGTAAGGAAAACGTGTCAATCCCAAAATTTGTGCAAAATTTCCATTTCCATTTTTCTTTTTCTTTTTTGGTCTAACCATTTCCATTTTTCTAAATAGGGTGGATTTTCCGTTTTCTATTATCATTTGAATTAATTATTTTCTTTTTGCTCATATTTTATCTTATTATTGAGGTTATTCGTTTAAGAAAATTCATAAAATAAAAAAAGCTTTTACCTAATTTTGCTTGTCTTTTTATTCTTTTTCTTATTATATTCAAGCGATATTGTTTTAAATAGGAAAGTCATTTCCTTAAGCGGTAAATGGGAACAACATCATTAGCTAGTATAGGAGTTTAAAATTGTAGGACATCAATACTTTATAACTTATAGCTAGCTCAATAGAGATACTTATGGCTAGCAGGTCCAGGCAGGGGGATTATGCGGCAGCTTGACCTTAATGATGGAGGCTGTGGCTGTAAGATTAGTTTTGCTTGCTTGCCTCAAGTGTGCGACTGTTGTGTGTTGAAGTTGAATCTGATTCGGTGCAAATGATTCAAATGCTCAGAGGTGAGCATCACGTAGATGTTGCAGTGGAAGCTATTGCTTTTTACATTAACATGCTTGCAGGTAAGCTCCACAAGTCGTTTTTATAGCTACTCCCTATCAGTGTAATAAAGCAGTGCATGAGATTGCAGCCTTTGTGTCTAGGGTAGGAGGTAACCATGTCTGGGACCAAGTGTGGCCTAAGTAGATTTTTGATATTTTGGCTAGTGATGTAAACCTTTCTATTCGTCTTTAATAAAACTCTCTTCGTTTAGGAAAAAAAAAATTACTTTATAACTTAATCTTTCTAATCCCCACAAAATGACAAAATCCTTCAATTTTACATCCATTTCTTACTTCACATGTACATCCGTGAGTTATCCAATCTAATTTAATATTGGGCACCAAACACGGCCAAAGTTCCATGTACAAAAGAGAAAAACGAGTCAGTTCATGTACCACTCTCGACTCATTGATGCGGCCAAAGTCGGCACACACAATAAGTGATCATGGGACCTTGTAACAAAGTGTAGATGTCAATAGATCAAATTACTATTGATCCTTCAACAGTAATTCTATGATTTAACTTTTAAACCATTTCCCCTTTATTTTGCTAATAATCCACCAGAGCTACAAGCCTAACGATCCCATACCACATGAAAACTATATTTTCAATTATACTTCCAAAAAGAAAAACGATCAATAAAATGAAAAGACACGTCCTAGTTAGTTGATGAATTCGTAGTTTATTCTCAAATAAAATGCTTTCAATGAAAGCAGAAAACTTGAATTGCAAGCACATTCACTTCCACATTTATATTTTAGTTTGGTTATTGGATGTAGGTAGATTTAGTTTGTTAAATTATATGTTATTTAAGTGTGTATCTTGTTGTAGGTCGATCGACCAACTTGGGAGCACTATTATTTAACAAAATAATCACCCAAATTGAACGGCCTGAACCACCCCACCAATTATTTAAACCAATCGAAAAATATAAATAATTGTAGATACAAGAATGAGAAGAATAGACAAACGGATCATGGTCATGGGGTCATGGCCATGGCCAAGCTTGTTTCTTTGGCTTGAAATAATTAAAGATGGAAAATATTAGGCTCCTTTTCTGAAAGTATGAACTTCTACTTTTCTGTCAATCATAGTTTGACATATGTGTAGAGATTTTTTTTGTGTGTTTTCGGTGAATATTTGCATAAAGTAGGACTGCCGCCTTTCATGAAATGAGAGAAGCAGTGTCCATTAGATGCCATTTTTAATTTTCTGTTGAAAGGTGTAGACTCTGTAGGACATTCTTATCTTATCACTCTGTTTCTTAATACCTACACTCAAACCCCTCATATATGATATATCCATTTGTTGTAATTGATAATTTTTATGGTTTTTAGCATTTGTTTGTCAAATTAATTTCTACATAGTTAATTTATATCTGTAATTATATTCTATATATGCCCACAAAATACATTTTCTTCCAAGTTCCCATGATCCTGGAAGAAAATGTATTTTATAGCTCATGCCCATGAAGCTCTAGGGCTAACTTGTAGCAACATCAATTATGCAAATTGTACATGGTTGGTGAACCCTTTAATAATTTGTGAATTGATGAACGCCAAATTTGTTGACTTCATGAAAAAGCCAATATGCCTGCCTCAGGCAATAATTTGAGCAACACTCAATGGCAGCCAAAGGGTGAAAATCTACCAAGCAATCAAAAGGTGAAGATTCAAATGCTACAAATTGAGCATGGGTTTGTTTAACTTCGGAAATATTTGCTATCTGTTCTACCTGGAAGAGGGCTGAGGAATTTAATAATGAATCAAGTAAATGACAGTTTCCATCAATTTAGAAGCAGATTGAAATGGACATATGATAAATGTGCAGGACCACCATTCACAAATCCAGCCCTAATTCCACCCAGGCAAGACCCCAACTCCATTGTTCCCATGTGGGTTGGGCTGCCAAGGTCATTGTCTTCCCTAACTTTATTGGTATGTTATGCCTTATCTAATTCCAAGGCATGGAGCCAACCAGGTTTAGCCTAGTAGAAAAGGGACTCGACTTGAAGACTAATAATCTCAGGTTCGAATCCCCAAGGCATCATAGTAGTGTGTGACCGAGAAACACCCCCTCCTCTCATGTTTGAATTCCTATGGCATTATAGTAGTGTGTGTGAGAACCCCCCTTCTTTTTCTATTTCTAATTTAGACCATCACTTATACTAAAAAAATTGCAGGCATGGTAATTAAATTATACACCCTGAGAGAAATCAGAAGCAAAGACATTTCACAAATTGTGTAACAGGGAAGGTTTGTTTTGCATGAACACCCCTACCAAACTAACCTAAGATGTCCTTGCCACCATTTTCTATTATTTTAATTTAAGTTTAAGTTACACATGCAACCTTTAAAATCCTTAATTATAAATTTGAGTTTCATGAGACTGTTTTCGTTTTATTGAGTGTGTGACATGCATATGAACAAAAAGAAATGCAGATCTGCCCTTCTATACATGCATCCTCCGCTCAAGAAACTAGAACATATCTACTAGTCCTACACAGAACATCAAAGAATTACTGATGGTATCATAAGTAACTGATGGGGTTTGGGGAAAATGAAAATAAATGAACGCATCGACACCGAAATACTTACTATAACTCAGCACTGCTACGCGGCACGAGCAACCCCACACAAAGTTTTTTGGTCCAAAACAGGCACAGTCTGAACTCACTCTAAGGTGTAAGTTTGTAATTAGCAACCAGTACCTTGGGTGGGGGACTCATCATCACATAAGGGGTGATAATCAAATCAGTTCGAATCAAACGAATTGTAAACTAAGATTAAGATCTCCTGGTTTCTAAACCTGTACCAAACTTAGATTAGAGAGGTCAAGCCACAAGAGGTAGACAAGGAAGGACCACTTTGAGTGCAAGTATAAACTGTAAAGTGCAGAAAATTTCACTTGATATTCACTATCAACCTAAATTTAAAAATAAAATAAGTCAAGTAGGCACCATAGTTTCCCAGTATTTCATTTTTTGACTTCCAAGCATCCAAATAGTACTATTTTTTGGGCAAAAATACCTCCCAGAAATTGTTGAATAGCTACCAAATTTGCGTAGCACCATTGTTTGAACTCAGGAAATTCGCTATACAAAGCTGCCCACCAGGAAAACTTGGTTTTAGAGTCAGACAACCAAAATTTTTAAGCAATGTTCCAACCAAAAATGAGAAAAATACAACTTTCCAGTACAAGGAAAATCCCAACTATGATTTTTGTATTTAATATGAAACTGAAAATGTGAAAAATATAGCTTTCCAGTACAAAGAAAATCCCAACTATGATTTTGTATTTACTATGAAACAACATATCACAAATCCATTGAAAGATCTACTCACAGCATTCACAAAATAAAATCAAATGCAGCTTTGGATCTCCAGGTCATGCATCCACCATCCTTTCATCTTTATCCATGACCTCCAATCAGCTGCAGATGTACAGGAAAAAAAGAGTTGATGTTGCACAGAATTGACAGATAAAATGACCCAGTTACAATATGGAGAATTTGACTGTATGCAAAGGAAAAGAATTGAAATTTGTTAATGAAGTAACTAAATATATGAATTAGTTACTGCAACAAACAATGGAGATGAGGGAAATAGATCTGAAGGGAGCATGGTAGCGACAAGACAAGGGCATATTTTGTATTTTATCAATTTTAGAGGACTTGGTATTATGGTAAAATTGTATGCGACTTGGTGATTGGGCAGACAGAAGTCTAGAAGCAAAAGCACATGGCTCAGATTCAAGGGGTTAAAAGTGCAGATATTGATTTGAAGGTGCAAGAAGAAAAAGTTTAAAAATCTACAGTATGCTCGATAACGGAAAACACTGCAACAATTACATTTTTAACTCAACTTGCTGGAGAAACAGAAAAACCAAAAACAACCAATTATGAATGCCCCATCTCATTCAAAAAACAATTATCACTTTAGATCCTGAGCACCTTGGATTCTGATTTCATGAAAGATGAAAACAAACAATCAAAAACGCGCCCAATCTTTGTTACACTAAATTGACTTAATGATGACATCAAAATATTCAGATCAGGAACATCTTAAAGACAGATAATTAGCATTAGAGAACCAATTCATCCCAAAATAAAAGGCATGCCCAGCACAAGAATGGACTTAATGGGACTGTCCTAAATACTAAGCCCTTATCAACGATGTCCAAAATCTTCAGCAGAGCCTGAGTTCTGAGGATCCTCTAGCAATTAATTTTTTGAAAAAGTATTTTAACTTCAATAATAGCAATGAGTTTGCCGCAATCATTGCAGTCATCCTTTGAAGTGGTAGCAAAATAGTAAAGTTCCGAAGAAAAATGCAAATTGCCAAAAGGTAGATGGGATTCAAATGAGTTTGCTAATGTGCACATAATTGATGGTTACCTAATTGTGACTTATCATTACCCTGGGTGAATAACAAACTGTTTTGTTTATTGTGACACACTAAATAGAAGAAATCATGGCCAGTGACAATCTTGAATTGAATGGTACCCAGGTAATTTGGATTTCTTTTGTACAAAACTTTGCCTGCTTTCTGAAGAGATCATGTTTGCAGGAAATGTCAACAGAACTTTTACAATTCTACATATCTCCAATAGTAAAACGATATTGTTGGTCAATATTAATGAACTTTCTCAGACTCATACAACTCCCTTAGTAACCTAAAAGACTACAGGAAACTCACACACACACACACACACACACACACACACACCAGAACAAAAACAAAGCAATATGAGCATATTTCTGGAATTGAGCTTGATTTCGATGCTGGGCCTCACTACTGCCCCTTGTATGCCATTTTTTATAGTTCAGTCTTACCTTTGAGTAAACTTAATCTTAACAACCAAGTGTACTTTGTTATTTCCTGAATCACATGACATTGGCTGTTGCTCACAGGCCTTAATAAATTCGCCAACAACATGCTTGCTATGAAATAGCTTATAACCTCCAATTAGAATTAGGAGTACTAGAGCCTACACAAGTTGACGTAAGTTTTATTATGAATCATAATCAATGGAGAACAAGTAATCTCACAAGTTACTAAGATTTCTAATAATGAAATTCTAACAAGAGGTGTGATGTTTAAAAATCTAGGTATCATATCTTTCTTCTCTAACCAAAATTCTACCTTGGTACCCAATTCAATCCACACAAAATAGGATGTTCAGCAACCAAGTTCAGTTAATAGAACCCAAATTCCATCCTTCCATCAACAAACAATCCAATCAACTCCAACTTGCCTAGGTACTATTCTTGTTTACAGTTCCCAGCATTCCAGACATCCATGACTTTTCATCATTTGTCGATTAGCTTAATAGTTATTATCCAAGCCACACCATTCCTCTTACACCTTTTTAAAACCCTGAAACCAAACATCTTCTCCCCATCAAGCCCGAACCAGATCATAAGGTGGATTGGTTCAAACGGGGATAAGCATGAGTTCTTGCTTAGAGTGGTTTCTCTAGTAGAGACAATTAGTGATGTAACCCCTATTACAATTCAATATATGGATTATAGGAAATATCAATTGGCTAAGTTTGGTTTATAGGTTTGTAATCTCTGTTCAGAAAATCCTTTTGTACTTTTGTTTATGTTGCATTCTTATTTAATCATTAACCAGCGTTTAAACATAATCCAACAAACCCATCACGGGAAACAACCAGACAAACCTTCACACACACACAAATACACAGCTATCTCAGATGGGTTGATTAGAAATCTACCAAAGCTATAACAAGCAGAGAAATTTACAGAGACGAATAGATATGAGACAAATAAAGAGTAGACTCTAGAACAAACCAGAGCTTTGGACTGGTGAATTTGGCAGTAGAATCAGCCAACATGAAAAGCGCCAATATCTCCAGTTCTGATGGAACCGGCAACCTCATCAGCAACAGTCAAGCAAGACGAAACCCACCCGGTCACAGCCAACCACACCATCTTTGCCATCCAAAAGGTCGTGGCCCATGGCATAGCCATTGTTCGGGTCCTTGCTCTGGCTCCTTTCCTCAAGACTCAAAATTGTTTTGCAAGTTAAAACCCCATTTGAGAGAATCAAACTCAGCCCCCTTTCGGGGGGAAATAAATCACCAAAAATCAGAGACTGTAAAGTCAAATGAAACGAAAAATAGTTCATAACAAGGATTTTTTTTGAGTTTTTCTATTTTTACCCCACACTTTTCTTTATTTACCTAATACTTAAATCATTAAGCTCTTAAATTTTATTATTGTGTAAAAAGACAAAAAAGGTCATCTAGTACATCTGTACACATTCTCCACACACCCCATCACTCTTCATATTAAGTTTTAGAAAAACAAACACTCCTCTACACCATATTAAGTTTTACTATTTCAATTTTTATATAATTTGACTATTTCCGTGGAAAAATTGCACGCCAACATAGCTATGAATAATAGCTCAAATAAATTACATGGTGCAAGATTTACAATTAATTACATCTCATCGAGCCCCAGGCAACGTTATAATAGAGTCATAATTTGAAGATGTTTTGTTCTTACTTGAAGAAGAATCTGCTTCAGACAAATATTTACCACTAGGGAAACTTGGTTTTTGGGTTGAGGTAAGGGGCACTCATCAACTAACATTAGAATCATGGACGACATGGTTGGCTTGCCTTCATGAAGCTGTTGCACACATAAAAGACTAACATGTATGTAATGCAAGAGTTTGGATAGAGTGTACGAGTCCCTTAAGCTACACATTTGATAACAGTGTTTTTATCTCAAGTAATGTGAGGTTGAGTTGTACTTAGAATGGTTAGGGGAAAGATAGTGGGGGTGTAGGGTGTGAGGTTAATGAGTTTTTTTTTTTGTCTGCTGAGTGTGTATTTAGGGGTAGTTTGGGAAAATAGTAAGTTTTTTTAGAAATTGTGAAAATTTGAATTAGAAGTTGTGGTAAACTTAGAATATGGGGTGAACAAAAAGAAGTGTGGGGTTTAAATAGAAAAACTCTTCTTCTTTTTTTCTGTCCAAAAAAAAAATTTCTATTTTTAACTTAACAAAGAGAAAAAAGGACCCCTCCCTACTGTCACTTTTTTTTAAATTTTTTTTTAAAGAGAGATAAAAAGGATTTCTTTTAACTACATAAAACCCCAAATTATTATACATTTTAACCTTCTTCGTTAAAAAACAGTTAGTAAATCTATTAAATGCTTATACGGCAATGGCGAATTTCTATCGAGTTTCAATGTGTAATTTCTTCACACACAAAAAAAAAACAAAAACAAAAAACAAAAAAAGAAGTGTAATTTCTTCTCATTCCAATATACCTCCAAGGTGATTTCAGAGTGCCTTTATATCCGTATGATTGCCACAACATGATAATTCAAACAAAACGATCTTGTGCCTGCAATGACTTTTCTTTTGTTGTGCTATTTGGTTCTTAGGTTTTTATCATGTGTCCACTTTGATCGTTTCAAGAGTTGTTTTCAAAGGAACAAACATGATGCACTACCTCTTAAACCACGCACAGAGTTAAATATTTTTTTAAGCAACAAATGCAATCCATATCGACTATGTGCAACTCCAGCTATTGATTTTAATATTTTCTTAGGAACAAATGTAATGCATTACCATCGAGGAATTCATAATAATTTTATTTGAGGAACACCTTTAGGGTCTCTAACAATTTTTTTTTCAACATTCCAAATCGTCTATATTTCATTTCTTCATTCATAGATCATCTTTGCAAAAAATCATGCAAATTGAAATTATTAAGGCAACTAATTGGGACCAACAAAATAAACAAATATGGTACTTCAAGAAAAGACTATAATAACAACCATCGAATTGAGTGGTCAAATAGTTTCATATTCAAATGATTTTTTGCAAAGATGATCTTTGAGGCAATATCTAAAAAGTAGACATTCGGATTATTGAAATAAAATGGGTGGTGGGCTCTACAAGAGTATCTCTCAAATAAACTTATTTAAGGAATCCATCAACTAAAGTGAGAGAGAGAGAGAGAGAGAACTATTGCATTAGCCCCATCAACTATTCATAGAGCTACAAAAATTTAAATTTACTAAACCTTTTAGTTGCGTAGAACTTCTCTTTCCAATGTTAAAAGAGTTCCCAAATTCAAAACTCCCCATTCCTCTATTAATAATATAAAAAAATTGAATTTATTTTCTTTTATGTGTGTGTATATATATACATTAAACCAATTGCCCTTTCTTGGACAAATTGGCCAAAATTTGCATTATTTTAGAAAAAGAAAAAATACAAATTCCAAAATTATTTAGAGCTTCTAATACTTTATAACATGTATACTAGTTGAATTGAAGATCAATCGTATTGAAATGTTTTTCTCGAGAGCATTAATTCCTCTGAGTCTCATATATGCTAAAATTGAAACCTAATATGAGAATATTTGTTTGTGAGAATTTTCTGTATATTCTTCTCCTTGTAGGAGGTCATATTTATAATACAATGGAGCTTTAGTGGCCAAGTAAATAATAAATTCATATTTCTATTTACAGTAGGAAATCATAAATTAAAGTAAATCAAATATAATTATAATGGGAATCCTTGGTGTTTAAGAAAAGAAAGTCAATGGTCCACAAGTCAAGCCAACACTTCCTCTCACGTTGGTGCATAGATGTTACCAATGCCCAACTGGTCCAGTGAATTGTGGAATGTCCTATTGGAAATTGCCTTTGTCAAAATATCCGCCAATTGATCATCAGACTTTACGAAAGGAAACTAAATCACTTTAGCTTCAAGCTTCTGTTTGATATAGTGTTGATCTACCTCAACATGTTTGGTGCGATCATGTTGAACTGGATTCTGCATTGGATAAAGCAACCACCTTTTATTTATTGCTCCTCTATGTAACCAAAGTACCTCCCACAATTGTGAAGTAGCCAGATGTGGATTTCCTATACGTTATACTTCTTGCCCAATCTACATCTATGTAACTATTAATATTCAGATGACCATGTTTTGAGAACATAAGTCATTTTCTAGGTGCGAACTTCAAATATCTAAGTATCCGAAGAACTGCATTCATGTGGTCTTCACTCGAAGAAAGCATAAATTGACTAACGACACTCACTGCATAAGCAATGTCTGGCCGAGTATGAGACAAGTAGATCAATCTTCCCACTAACCTTTGGTATCTTTCTTTGTTAGTTGGAACTTTATCCGGGTATTCTCCAAGATGATGATTTCACTCGGAAAATGCATAAATTGACTAACGACACTCACCACATAAGCAATGTTTGGCCGAGTATGAGACAAGTAGATCAATCTTCCCACTAACCTTTAGTATCTTTCTTTGTTAGAACTTTATCTGGGTATTCTCCAAGATGATGATTCTGGACAATAAGAGTGTCTACAGGTTTGCAATCTAGCATTCATGTGTTTGTCAACAAGTCCAAGACATATTTCCTTTTAGAGAGAAAAATGTCTTGTTGTGATCGGGCCACCTCAATCCCCAAGAAATATTTGAGTCCACCTAGATTCTTCATCTCAAATTCAATAGCCAAATAGTCTTGTAGTTGAGATATTTTGTGTTTTTCATTCTAGTAATAATCATGTCGTCAACATAGATTATTAAAGTTGTTACCTTCCCTTTTTGATGTTTCAAGAACAGAGTATGATATAAGTTACTTTGTCTGAAACCATTGTTCTTCAATGCCATGGTGAACCGCCCAAACCATGCATTGTTAGAAATATGCCCTTAAAGTCAACTAATTATGTGATAGTTAGAGTTAAGGACATCTTTGATAAATTTAAAAAAAAAAAACATATTATGTTATCAATGGGAAAGAAATGTTGTTTTATACATTAAATCATCCTATATTATCTTTCAATATGTAGAACAACCATAGTCCAAGGAATACACAAGTGGACATATATGAGAGCTATGTAATGAGATTGCATATATGGAGACTTCTCATCATCCCTAAATCCTAAATATGTTCCTGGTCATAGGAATATTGATTGGGCGTCAATATTCCGCAAAGACCAGTACACACAGTATTGTCTCTATATGTAGGGAATGAGAAGGTCTTAAGTTATTAAGTGTGGAGACACATCGATATGTGTGTAGGTGGTTGTAGAAGAACAAGTACACTGAACGCGATCCAACACATGAGTTACAGCATGGAAGTCTTTACTCACATGTCAAGCTAGAACTCATAAATTGCAATGGTGCAAACTAATCCTTAGATCTGAGGCATCATAGATGTTTTGTGGCTATGTTGTTCATCTTTGAGGGCACTATACGGTCATGCTGAATTAGACATAACTTAAAAGTGCTCATCAGGATTCTCAATAGAGTCATGGAAGAAATGAATGGACAACAAGGAATCTCTACTCTCAGTAAAAGAGAGAGAATACTCAAGATATGATTGGTCAAATCTCTGCGCAAAGTAGTGGATAAGACTTGAAAGAAGAAGTCTTCAAATCTTACCAGGATAATCATATAAAAGGAATGATTCACATTAGGATATTGACAATCGGATTCCATGATCTAATAATGTGAATAAGGAGTAGTGACATAAGAGAAGGATTCAATTGCATGGTTATTCCAATTTAAATTTCACAATGTCTCATTTAGCTCAGATAACCTTGACTTGCTGCTAGGCGACAACCATGGTTTGTGGATGTCCTAAAATGTTTAAATTAACCTTTATTAATAGGAAGAATTTAATTGTGGAATTTAATTCATATATCATATATGAGGAGTTAAGTCAACCCACTACTTTGTTAAAGGGAACCTACGGATCTGCATAGCCAAAGAATATGATTAGAGGTACAAATGAGGAGACACAAGTCAATGATTGATAATTGTCAGTCAAAAGTCAACATGTTGATCGGAGTAATTGACCAAAGTCAAATAGTTCGATCGGGTCAATTAAATAAGACTATAATTATAATTTCAAATATTGGATTGGGCTTTTAAATATGATTTAAAAGGAAAATGACAAAATAGCTCAAAAGGCTATTGGGCTCAAGGGATAAGTGGCATAAGAAGACATGAACCATGGACCAAATAGAGCCCCAAATACCCACCCAATTGCCTTTTGTGTTGTCCT